TGCCCTTAGTTAGATTTTATGCTTTTTTAACATAAAATAAACATTTAAAGGACTATTTTGAGTTAGGAACATACCTTTGACATCTTGGTATTACACAACCTCGCACTAACAAAATACTGCCATAGTCGAGCCATCGGTATCAAATGAGTTCCCTTGATGGTCTTCTTTTGTTTCTTCGACACTACCCAAGTTGCATTTGGTTTTGCAATGACCGGAGGAATAATACTATCCTTAAACTGTGACGTCCTAAACCTTGCGAACTCATCCTGATCAATCCTAGGTAGGTTATAAAACTCATTGATCATGTCTTCTGTAAACGGCACACCAGCCCCTCTCACAAAATGTAGTACCCTTATCACAATCCGGGAGGTTGGCATAAAACTCCTTTACTAGCGACTCTATAGCCGGTTGTGTAGGAGCATTCATAAATAGTTCCCACTGTCTCCCTCGACTCCAATCCAAAGCCTGATTCGTGGTTAATCCATGCTCAGGAATAAAGCCCTTATCTTTTCTTTGGATAGCCCATTCATATCGTTTCTAGGCCTCCTCACTCACGAAGCGGTTGTCCAATTTCTTTCCTTTTCTCTTGCCCTTGGATGGAACCTTAACTTTGAGCGGCATGTTTTCAAAAACTATACTTTAACTCAACAATGCAACCCCACAAATTCAAACCTAGGTGGCCTATGACAAATAATCCAATCCTGCAAAAATTTACAACACTTCCAAAAATTTGCACTTAGACCCCCAAACTACGACTTCTCCAAATTCAACAAAACACTCCAAAACTCAAAACCCACACTCCTCAATATCACAACATGCACAATCAACCCTTCCTAAAAAAAAAAATTGAACTCACAAGCACCCAAAAATTCACAATTTAACCAACAATCAACTTTTTCAGATCTACAAATCAAAACTCGAAATTGTGCGATAAAAAGCTTAGAGAACTTGAGATTTTACCAATACGAAGGATTATTCGCCACCAATTTACCTAGAATCAGCCCAGACTGGAAAGCCCCAAATTTCTTGAACCTAAAAATTTCATGAAATTTTTGCAAAAATTGTTGTTGAAATGAGTTGTTTTGGTGTNCTATTCCCCCAATTCCAACTATTGGAATGATTGAAACAACATCATCACTATTTGAATGAAATAAAAATTGTATGATTAATTTCATGTTTCTTTTCATCCCTCCCAAAGGTTTCTTCATTAATAATAGAGTATGTTTCCCTTTCAGTGTTCTCTACTCTTTTTTTCACTATATTGTGTTTACATTATTCTCATTCTTATCGTCTTTTAGATATTATTTTATTTCCTTTTATTGCATAGAATACATCATTATCATAATATTTTATACTATTACATAACTATCACATTTTTCTATAAATGGGTTTTGTATTCAGTTACAACTCACAATAATTCAATTCAATTTAATACAATTCTTTTCTCTTAAAGATATCTCTCGAACATACTCCGACTATTTTCAATTGTCTCTTTTGCTCTCTCAAAGACATCTCTCAAACATATTCTGGCTTTTTTTAATTGTCTCTTTTACCCTCTCAATTCTGATATGATATCAAAACATATCTTTTGGGTAAGCTTCAACTCTCTTCAATTGCTCAAAGAGGTGGAACTTGCTATCATTTTTAACCTCATCGAGTCTCACCTAAAAAATCTTAATTTTATGAGCCATCTTAAGATCATGGTGAATGCGATTAGATTTAGAGAAGAGTCAAATATCTATGGATTCATAATATAAAATGTTCTAATAAAACACTAGCTTTTGACAAATTTTTATCAATTTGATATTTAACATAATTTCCGAAGTTAAGGAAATAATTTTATTTCATAAACCAAAACACCACCAAACTTATCAGTTGCTTTCCAGTCTCACAAATCCAGAAGTAATAAAGTTTCACCAGAAAATCATGAGACGCTAATTTTGACTTATTCTAGAGCCGGAATCATGCAAATGATATCTGTAGCTTCACTTATCAGAAACTTGTCTATAATTCTGCAGAAACTCAACAAATTTGTATACATACTGATCGTGGAGTTCTTCATCTGCAAATAAAAGCCTCAACGGTTTTTCATCAAAATCTTTTCATAATCATATATATATTGCATGGAGAAAATAGAAAATTCAGATTAACACTGGTTTTAATTTACTGTGCCATGTCGTTACTAACTTAGAAGCAAGATCTAAAAGTTCGCACCTTCAAAACTCGTTGTCATTTATGAAATCATCATTCCACATATATTGTCTAAAAATAATAAAATTAAGTTTTGCCATTAATTGGTTTGAGTTTTTAGGTATAATAGTAGAACCGATTAGAGATATATATTGAAACCAGAGAGGCCAAAAGTGTCTCTTACAATTCCTCACTTGTGGTTCTCCGACAGTCACCAAATTTAGTGATTTGCTGTAAAATTATTTTTATTCAAAATAGTACAGACATGCCACACATTTTTTTTTTTTTGTTGTTTTTTTGTTTTTTTTTTTTGACATCCTTATCATTATAGAACGTTGAGCAAGATGGTTACTATTATATATGTAGCATATTTCTTGAGAACAATCTTGACGTTGGTAGTAATAGTCTATAATTTGGATGATGTAATTAATTTTTCTAGAGCTTCCTATTGGAATAAATCTATCATTTTCTTTGCAATTTTTCAGGGCTTTATTTTTTGTAGTAGGAACTAAACCCTTCTTACCCTTTCACTTAACCCTTTTCAAATTAAAATAATTCTAAAGTAAAAACATTATCCCATATTAAAATATTCCAATATCATAAGAGTAAACGACATGTTCCCACCCAAGGTTTCATGAAATGGCATGTTCCCACCCTTGGTTCCATAAAATTCAAATTTCCACCCGTAAATTAATATAAAACTGTTTAATGAAACAGTTAAAGGATAAAATGGTCATTTGATTGGTTTTAAATTTGAAATGAAAACAAAAATTTTAAAATAACCCTCCACATCTCAAATTTCTCTCACAAGTACCCTCTCTCTAAAACTACTTCTCTTCCGCTGCTTCTCTCTCCCTCCCTTCTTAAACCACAGTCGCCACCATTGGTTATTTTTGGCATTTTTCGGTGCCCATTACAGCCCTCACCCTCCCCAGTCGACTGGCCCTCCGATTCAGCTACGTCGACGTAGTTTTCACCGAGTTCCAGCCACTGCCATCTTCGCTCGAGCGACGTCCCTTGCACAATCGTATCGTGCGCACCTGCGCACGAGTCCAGCAGGCGATGCATTGTACTTTTTCTTAGTTGTCGACACCTTAACCTGCCATGCCCGTGTTTTGGTCGCTTGGCTTTTCGATTTGGTGTTTTAGTTAGCGATTTGGTGATGGCTCATTTCCTAACGCAAGTCGTGCTCTCTCTTTGTTGCCGATGCCTCAACCTGCCATGCCCATGTGTCCATTTACTGAGTCATGCCCCGCCACCTACTGGTTCTCATCATGCGACTGTCGCGCACCTAGCTTGCACGACTGGTTGCACCATCTACAAATCCCAGGTTTGTTTGCTTGGCACCTTGGTCGAATGTAATTGAAGGTTTTGTTTGATTGCTAGTGGTTTTTTGTGGCAGATCTCGGCTGTTTTCTAGTGGAGTATGGATGTTGGCGACAGATCGAGGGTTTTCTATTACAGGGGTGTTTTTGGTGGTTTTTCAAACTTAAGGGGCTAAAAGGTCATTTAATAATTTATTTGTCAAGGGTAGTATGGTAATAACATCTTGCATTTGTGTCAAAACTTAAAAAATGGTTAACGGTGTTGGTTTTTGGGTGGAAATCTGAAATTTATGAAACCAGAATGAAAACTTGCCATTTCGCCAAACCTAGGAAATCTAAAATTTATGAAAACAAGATGAAAACTTGCCATTTCGTCAAACCTTAGGTGGGTACACATAAAACCCTTCTTTCTTCCCGTGTCAACAAACAATGATAGTCGATTAAATTGGGGCTGGATTCCAAATTCCAAGGCTGTGATTTACTTTATGAAATAAAAAATTTTAGAAAAATTGTGGTTGACACGACAAAAAATGAATACATAAACAAAAAATCATCCCTTATAGATGTTATTTGATTAAATATATAGTGGATTAAAATGTATATGGGACAATGACTCCAATAGTATAAATACATTATTAGTGATACAAATTGCGTGATATCATGGTGATATGAATGATTTTTTGGACATGGTTATCACTTTTCACGTTTATTAATTTCTGAAATCAGCGAAGTCAGCTGAAACAGTCTACATTCTCCGACTATTGTTAATAGTTTTTTACATCAATCACGCGCTCCATTATTAGTATTATTGGATTATATAGAGAAAGTGGAGTTGATGATTAAGCATAATAACAGGATCAGTGGATTACATCAATCACGCGGTCCACTATCAGTAATTTTTTTTTTCCCCTTTTTGAAGAAGAGTAAACTAATAGAAATTGAAGAAAAACAAATTAAAAAAGCTATATAAATTCAATACTAGGATGTTTTTCATCAAACTCTTTTTCATATATATATATATATNGAAGAAGAAGAAGATGCAGAGGAAGAAGAAGATGTTGACGACGCCAAGAAGAAGAGAAGAAGATGCAGGTAGAGATGCGTTAATGGCGGGAGGAAGAAGAAGGTTTTTGGGTTTATTTGCAACAATTTCGGATTTGTGGAAATATAGATAATTTTGAAAAGATTACATTAATCCTAATTAAGCACTAATTACCCTTAATCAATAATATGGCTATTTAGTTAACATTTCAAAACTTGATAGCCTTTTAATTAAATGTAAACTTCAAATGTCTTTTTAATAACTTCCCCCCAAGTGGGGGGCCTAACCCGGTGGCGGACCGGGTTAGAAAACACTAACCCGCCGCAGGTCGGGTCTGGCCGGTCAGGTCACTTTTCCAACAACAAATCCAGAAGTAATACGTGAGACGCTAATATTTCATAATGCCTAATGATACATAATAATAGTCTTCGTTGATGGAAAACTTATTTATGATTCTGCAGAAACTCAACAAATTTTTTAACGTACTCATCGTGGAGTTCTTCATCTGCAAATAAAACCCTCAATTCCTTGGCTTTCTCTCTGTAAATTCCTCCTTCTTCTTCAACTATCACCAACCTCAACGCCTCCGCCACCGACTTCCTTGTGTATTCTCCATCTTCCTCATTTCTCGCTATCTCTATCCCTGCCTTCTTCTCTGCAAAAACCCTAGCAATCAACCCCTGGTCAATGGAGAAAGGTAGCAGAACCAGTGGATGTCCATAATAAAGCGACTCTGTAATTGAGCTAAATCCACAGTGAGTCAAGAACGCTCCCACCGATTCATGAGCTAATATCCTGAGTTGAGGGGCCCAACTCGTCCACACCACTCCTCTTCCCTTCACTCTTTCCTCAAACCCATCTGGAAGAACTATCGAGTCATCCCGATTTCTCAGCGCCCAAAAGAAAGGTAACCCGGAAAACTCGAGCCCCAGAGCCAACTCAGTCAACTCATTTCGACTCAAAGTCAACTCGCTTCCAAATGCTGCATAAATAACCGCCCCTGACATCTGCTTCGCTAACCACTCACTGATTGTAAGCCACGTCTTGTCTTCCTTACCGTCTCTGCTATCAGGAGCCGCAGGCGGCAACAGACCCACGGGCAGAACTGGTTTACCATGCAGTTCTCCCAGGAGGTTTATCCACTCTGATTCAATCTCCATGCAGCTCTTTACAGCTATCACGTCACAACCCGCCATTACGGACCCCAGGCGAACCATATCTTTGACTCCCGAATCGTTCATCTCATAATGATCAAAAAATTTCTTCGCTTCGTGGAGTCGGTACGCTACGCTGGTATCAAATGGTACCCATTTTGGAGGAACAGTGAAATCTTCCGGCTTAGTCCGTGGATCCTCGCCGTTGATCAAGGCCGATGATGATGATCCACAGAAACAGAGAGTCCAAGCCTGGACAATGCTGAAGAAGGCGCTGGAGATTCCCAGCTTGGCTGCTATTGGTGGTAACCAGGAAGCGATATAATCGTGAATAATCCAATCTGGGTTTGATTTTTGTAAAAATTCAGCCAAAGAATCTTGGAGTTTATCACAGGCAATTTTAAGATATTGGATTTTGTGAAGTGGCAAATCATTTGTGGCGTCTGCGTCTTTTGGAAGATTATCTTGATGGGGTAAACTGAAGCTCACAAAGTTCATCAAGGAAGATAAATTTGGAGGGATTTTAGGGAGTCGTTTGATGTTTCTTGGAGTTGAAATGAAAGACTTTGTGACCCTTTTGAGCAATGCGTTTGGCGAGTTCAAAGTATGGAATCATGTGGCCAAAGGCCAGCCATGGAAACATGGCTACGTGAAGCTGTTTAGCATCCGCCATTGCAAGCAAGTTACAGACGTTTTCAGGATCTTGAAATGATGCTTAATCTTCAAAGCGCTAATAACAATAATCACCATTTAAATTATAGAAATAGCAAAAACCTTTTTAGTTAACTTTTTTTTTTGGTTAAAATAAGTAATTAAGGGTCAGTTAAATAAATATTTATTAATTCATGTTATAAATTTTAGTGATTAATTAATACAAAAGGGATTCATATTATTTTAAAAATAAAATAAAATTAATTAATTTTATTAAATCTGAAGGGTCAGGAAAAGGAAAACCTGTATAGAAATATAGAGATAATTTGGTAAGGTATTGCGCAATGGATTCAAGAGTTTTTGTCTCCATGCAATAATGTAATGTGGCCATAATAATAAAAATTGTTAAAAAAAACCATTGGAGAATGGAGTGGTGCAGTTGGAGATTCGAAAATCTCATATATAATATGAGATAATATAGAGATAATTTGGTAAGGTATTGGGCAATGGATACAAGAGTTTTTGTCTCCATGCAATAATGTAATGTGGCCATAATAATAAAAATTGTTAAAATAAAACCATTGGATAATGGAGTGGAGCAGTTGGAGATTCGCAAATCTCATATATAATATATTAATGAACGTGAACAATGTGCTTGATAAACGTGATTCTTGTATCTTTTACCGGAAAATGCTATACCCACCATTCTTCCTCTTAAACTTTCTCTACAATTTTAATATATAAATTTATAGTTTGTCTATTCGTAATAAATCTCATCTATTAAATTATAATTAACCAATTATGAACTATCACATTAGATTATGAAAAAAAATTTATAAAAAGAAGTTATAAATATAACATTACTCATCTTTTTTATCTTCAGATAGATTATTGTTTCTGTTTCATCACTGTGGCCAACAGTTCATAAACAATGTGCTCTCAATCCGCATCTTAAACCAAAGATAATTATATAAATTATCTACTCTAATTTATTTATATTATTTTTTATTTAAATTTTTCTAATCAAATTAAAACAAATCAATTTGTATAAGTTTGTATGAAGAATTTAAATTCATTCAATCACATTAAAACACCTTATTTTTTTTTTAGCAGCACTACCATTACAACTTTTTCATATAACTCTGATGTGACAGCTCGCAATTGGTCAGCTCGTAGTGGTCTCATTTATCCAAATGCAAACTGACTAATCACAAGTCATCATCCCTAGAGTTGTATAAAAAAGTTGTAAGTGTAGTTTTAGGCCAAACGACTTGTGCATACCCAAGGTTTGCCGTAACGACAAGTTGGTACCCAAAAGGTTTTGAAACGACAAACAGATACCTTCTGTCATGTGCTGTTAGTGATTTCTGTTTGTTAACAGTGAAAATACTAAAATGCCCTTGAAAGTTTGATATTTTAGTTTTTTATAAATTTCTAAAAAACCCCCTAGGTTTGCTAATTTAACTAAGCACCCCATATATAAAAAGTTTGTTAAATGACAAAAACACCCCCACCACCTACAATGCCAAATTCCGGCCACTAACGCCAGAATCTGGCCGGAAATTGCGTTAAGACACAGACCCCGTCGGATCTGTGTCCTAACGCGTCGATCTAGCCTTTTTTGGCCAGATCCGTGGCTGATTTGGCCGGAAAAGGCCAGATCTACGGCCAGATCTGGTCGTCGACGTCACAGATGGAATTTTGCTGCCACGACGGCCAGATCTAGTTGTAGATCTGGCCTTTTCCAACCAGATCAGCCACGGATCTAGCTGGAAAAGGCCAAATCTGGCCGTCGAGGCCGCAAAACTCCATCTACTGCCTCGACGGCCAGATCTGGCCTTTTCCGGCCAGATCCGTGGCTAATCTGGCTGGAAAAGGTCATATCGACACGTTACGACACAGATCCGACGGGTCTGTGTCGTAACGCAATTTTCGGCCAGATTCCGGCGGTGGTGGCCGGAATCTGGCTTGCAAGTGGTGGGGGTGTTTTTATCATTTAACAAACTTTTTATATATGGGGGTGTTTAGTTAAATTAGCAAACCTAGGGGGTTTTTTAGAAATTTTTAAATTTATATAAAACTAAAATATCAAACTTTTAAGGGCATTTTAGTCTTTTCACTATGAACAAACAGAAATCACTAACAGCACATGACAGAAAGTACCTGTTTGTCGTTTCAAAACTTTTTGGATACCAACTTGTCGTTTCGGTAAACCTTGGGTATACGTAAGTCGTTCGGCCTGTAGTTTTATTGTTATTTTTTAATAGACTACACATATAAATAAATCTTATAAAAATTTTTATACAAAGTGATGTGACAAAAAATTAGTGCAAGAGTGAATATGATGAATTTGAATTTTTATATTTACTCTTTCATTCATTTTCGGTAACATCATTTTATATACAAATCTTTGTAAGATTTCTATATATGTCTAACATTATTGTTTTTAATAATATCTTGATCCCAATAAATCATTTTCTCTTTTGGAATGCCTAAAAAAAATATATAATTTTAGGCCTCCAAAAACTTAATTTCTAGTTTCACCCCTTTCAGCTTATTAACATTTAAGGATAATAGTATCAAATATTGTTAATTTTGATCTGTTTTCATTTCATATACTAGATATTTTTCTCGTTTAACTTAAACAAAGTTAGTTAGGCTCTTAGTTGCCTTTTGAAATTTTTTTAAACTGACAAAAGTTCCCTTTAAAAGATAATGAAAAAATTCATCATACAAACTCTAAATTAAATGCAAATATTATGTACTTTAGTTTTGATTTGTAATATATAGCGAATGTGTTTATTTAATTTTAATTTGCTATGCGTAATGTGTTTATTAATTTGGTAACTATAATGTGTAATTTTTTTTATTACTTTATATATACATATAATTTTATTGCATTTTTGTTTTAATAAAAGCCTTTTTATACCTAATGGTTCAAGAATGTATTATAATTAATTTTAAGAAAAAGGGTATTTTTGTCATTTTAGTGAAAATTTAAAATTCAGCTAACATTTTGTTAAAATAAAGAACTAGTATGGTAGTATTTGAAACGAGAAGGGTCAAATTTTTAGTATTTGGAGTGAGTCTCTTTATATATAATAAACTGAAATTATAGGGACTATAATTAATTTTCTTGGTTAAAATATAATTATAATAGTGAGTGACCCAAGTCGCTAGCCTTGGAAGTTGGAAACATGGCCGTATGAAGCTGTTTAGCATCCGTCATGGCTAATAACAGCTTCAAAATTATTAAAAATCATTGGAGAATGGAGGGTTGAGGATCTTCAAAATTAGTTTATGTTGGATGATAAAAAAACATGCAGAATAAGGACTAGACGCGTGTCCCCAAAGTGGGCCATTACCTAGCAAAGGAAGCTTATAAGAAAAGAAAGAAAGCTGCTTTTCCTAAAGGCAAGTGCCCACTTGCATAAAAAGAGATTCACCAATAAGAATGTCGTTCAATCCTCTTTCCACGTGTTCACTTGCATGAGGATTTTCTCACTCATCAAAATGAGAACGCGGCATCACAGGCCCAGTTATATGTAAACTTCTTCACACCTAAGATTACCTCATGAATACCATAAATAGCGAGTCTTCACCCCCACACAAAGGATATCAACATCTATTTTCTACCAGAGCAAACTCTATTTGTAAACGCATCAATAACATAATAGTGGATATAGAAATTGTTTATTGCTTTCGAACCACTTAAAAATCGTTCTTATCTATTTTTCATTTACTTTTACACATTTGCTATTCAGCACACTTCTTAAGTTCCACACATAAACCTCACCAAACCCATTGGTTTAGCATCATACTTGCTATTTCACAATCTCTCATAGTCCTCTACACAAACTTTCCAAAGGCTTGCGTACATTTCATTGGTGTGAAAAACTACATCAACATTTTGACACTAGAAAGAGGGCCTCCGTTAAAGCTCTCCTTATTGACCAGCAACTACATCCTATACCTATAATCAACTCGTCAACATGCGTAACACAAGAGCTAACTCCAAAGCCCCTGCAAATCAAGAAGGGGAAACAACAGAAAATCATTTGCATCCCATCCCAAAGGAGATATAGCCTGTCAGGCCCAAGAACGGGGCTGGAAATCCTCAAATGATGGACATGTTAGGGACACTAACCAGAACCATACAAACATTGGTACAATGCCTGGATGCCACCGTGAAAGTTCCAAAGGGAGAAAGGGAACACAACCAACCTGGTGCCCCATAGAGACAAGGTTAAAGGGTTTAGCTAAAGTGGTCCCCTCACACGAAGTCCACGACATCACGGCACGTCCCAAGAGTGGTCGCTAAAAATCATCAAAGACAAGCGTGTGATCACTCCATACGTTCATAGCCAAACCCTAATCGTGTTCCCTCGTTCAGGGGACAGGTTCCACCTCACGACAGATGGCCACGAGGTGTGGGTACCAATCCATAACCTGAGATTGCCCATGAACAACTCATCAGAAACGACTGTAATAACTTTCTCTAGCTAGTATACTTTAGAAAATAAGATATGAAATTACTAAATATGATATAGAAAATATATAAGCAAATAAGTATAAGATAATAGGCCCAAAAATTTACTTTATAATCAAATTCTCTACATCAAGTAAGAAAGTTATATACAAAACTCAAAATACAACTGGACAATAGTGCCATTCTCTCCCGCTTCTCAATGTTCCCTCCAACCGTTTCTCATCTACTACCTGCAAAACAGTGAAATTAACGGAGTGAGCACTAATTGCTCAGTAATTAAATCCGCTATACCATTCTTCTTCCTCCGTTACTCGTATTCTGAATTTCTTTCCTTACATCAAACTTCTGTATTCTTCTCTGTTCTTTCTAAAATTCTTACTTCTCTCACTTTCTAACATGTAAGTATAAGCAAGAAACTAATTCTGAAAAATAGACATGGAATAATGCATATGCACAAATGCATAAGAGATGCATTTTCTTTACTGTTTTTCTATGTACTTATTTTGTTTTCTCTCTCTTTTTCTGTGTTTCTTTCTTTCTTTCTGTTTCTTTTGTTCTTTCTTTTCTTTCTATTCTTTCTTTTTCTATTCTTTCTTTGCTTTGTTGTTCTTTTCTTTCTATGCTTTCTTTTTCTATTCTTTCTTTGCTTTGTTATTCTTTTCTATTCTTTCTTCTCTATTCTTTTCTTGTTTGCCGATCGGACACAGTTGAGACATGGATTTGGAACCCTGGCCGTGTGTGTGAGTACAATCCTCATCTATATGTACTTCTTACGGACTGTACAAATTCTTCTTTCTTCTTCTTAGGTCGCTCACTAAAGGCGATGTGCATGTAGGTATGTTCTTCTAGGTACTGTCCTCATCCACATGCACTCTTACGGACTATACAAATTCTTCTTTCTTATTCTTAGGCCGCTCACTAAAGGCGGCGTGCATGTGGGAATATTCTTCTTCTTGTTACTCACGGGTTCCCCATCCCAACAACCTTCTTTTCTTTTATCTTTCTTTTAGAAATTAGTATTCAATTTCTTTTCTTTTCTTTCCCTTTGGTCTTTAGTGTGCTTATATGCATGTATGCATATAGATGGGCTTTTTCTTGTTATTCTTCTAAATTCAAATGTTTAAATGCAAGAATCCAATATGGCATTTAAACAGGTCATTCTCTACTTTCTCTACCATCTACTCACTTATCTCAAGATAATATGTTATCATAATCATACATGCACTTCACTTTGAAATTTCATCAAACACTTTGTATGCACAAACAAAGCACTAGGTGATTACACTTCCATAATAATCTCTAACCACCAAACATTTGAAGCAAAGCTCCCTAAAAGCAACATCAAACCAGGCCAGCAAAACACACTCCATAATTCTACTCAAATTTTTTCTTAACTCATCCAAACTTCCATCAATCACCATATACACAAACATCACTCCTCATGGTGGAATTCTAACCATGAATCATCATCAAATCCATCAACAATTCTCATCATTCAAGCACATAAATACGTATAAGAATTTCTCTAACAATTTTTGCTCAAATTATGACTAGGGTTGGATTTACTTACCTTGAACTTGAGTAGTTCCACACTACAATCTCTCTCTTTGGTAGACTTCCTCTTCCTCTTAAACCCTAAGCATATAAACTATAAGAATTCAACACTTAAAAAATAATCAATGTTACATCTTGGTGTAAGAATCTTACCTTTGGATGCTTAGGATTAAGAATCTACCAAAATCCAACCAAAATCCTATAAATTTCCTTGGAAATTTGGTGAAGAAAATTGAGAGAATTAGGGATGAAGGTGGCATGTGAGGGAGTAGAGAATGGTAGGGTTTCAATTCTTGAACCCTTAATATCACATAATATTACTTATACTTTCCCATTTTGCCCTTGTACTTTCTATGAAATTCCATCTTTGCCCTTTAATCAATTACAATAATACCCTTATTTCCATTGTATTCTCCATGAAATTCTACTACTTTTCACTCCCCACATTTTCAACTAATTATGGGTAAAATGACCATTTTACCCTTAAGGAAGTTGTCCAGAATTTTCTCAAAAAAAATTCTAGAGAGTTCTTTGTCCCGACGAAGCTTTTTCTTCGCCTCAACGAAACATTCCAGAGAGTATGTTGCCGCGACGAACTTTCTTCCTTACCGCAGCGAAGACTGCAATTCTAAGAACACGATTTGGACAGTGTGTACAATGCTGTGGTGGCAAAACTCCTTTGCCACGGTGAACTTTGCAAATTCTAAGTTTTCAATCTTTCACTTTGCAACAAGTAAAACTAAGGGCATTAGAACGTAAATAACGTACCTCAATGCGGGCGTTACAACGACACCCAACAAGAGACTCTTCAGAGTAATTATCCACCACATATGAATGGCACCATAAAGGGAAACGTATTTGATAATATGGGAGGTGGAAGACGTCACTAAAACCTGCAAGGTAGCTACCCTCGTTTCCAAGAAGTGACCTCCAGAAATCACAAACCGCAAATGGAGGTCTCAAAAAGCAGTCTCCCTGCTAGGCAATAGTTAGAAGATCTACAATGAGCTCTAGACAAACTGCGTGCAAGACAAAGGGAGAGAATTATTGGGTAGGGGGGTCCCCGTTCTCTCCTGAGATTCTTTGAGAGCCACTCCCCCCCAGATTTAGAATGCCTGATGTTAAGGTTTTTTATGGTTGTGGCGACCCACAAAACCATCTTGACATATTCAATGACTTAATGGAATTGCTCCAGGTCTCAGATCTAGCCAAATGTTGTTGTCTGGTGATAACCCTGAGCTCGGGAGCAAAAAGGTGGACCAAGTCACTACCCACAAGATCAATCGTATCGTGGCGACAATTAAGCGTGCAATTTATCAGACTTTTCCAAGCAAACCGAAAATTTTTCATGCTGCTAAGTTATCTTAGTAAAACATTCGGAAAGATAAGGAAGAGACGTTGAAATCCTACCTAGAGTTGTTTAACCACGAATTGAGTCAAGTGGCGAATGCTCCCGAGGAGTAAACACGAACCTTAATCATAGCAGGGGTTCATCCGCAAATAGATTTGTGGAAAGATCTGCAAGCTGAAGACCATGTGTCTTTAGCTCAATTTTATCGAATGGCGAAGAAATACCTCAAAATTGAGAATTCAGTCGCTACGTTACAAGGTTGCGCTCCCAACGTTGAAACTGGAATTCACGACCGAATTGCCGATTACCTGGGGGAAAGAAATTTTTCTAAAATGACAAGAGTTCCCTTTAAAAGATAATGAAAAAAATTCATTATACAAACTCTAAATTAAATAAATATATTATATACTTTAGTTTTGATTTGTAATATCTAGCGAATGTGTTTATTTAATTTTGATTTGTTATGCGTAATGTGTTTATTAATTTGCTAACTATAATGTGTAATTTTTTTTTATTACTTTATATACATATAATTTTATTGCACTTTTTTTTTTAATAAAAGAATTTATGTACCTAATGGTTCAAGAATATTATAATAATTTTAGGAAAAAAGGGTATTTTTGTCATTTTAGTGAAAATTTAAAATTCAGCTACCATTTTATTAAAATAAAGAACTAATATAATAGTATTTCAAACGAGTAGGGTCAAATTTTTAGTATTTGGAATGAGTCACTTTAATTTTAATAAACTGAAATTATAGGGACTACAAATGATTTTCTTAGTTAAAATATAATTATACTAGTGAGTGACCAAAGTCGCTAACCTTCGAAACATGGCCGTGTGAAGCTGTTTAACATCCGTCAAGGATAGCTAAAACGTTAAGAAAATTTTTTACAAAATTAAAGATTATTTAACTCTAACCTCAAAGATGAAATTGTTAATTTTCCATCAAGCTGAAGGCATTTTCAGAATCTTTTCTTTGAGGGTGAAATTATGCTTAATCATCAAATCCATTTTCACAATAAATATTTTATGCATAATATCTCAACAGATCTCACCATTTGCAAAATAACTCTTATATTTTTCATATTTCCACTAAGTATTTTACATGTTTTGTATGTATTTTTCATCCTATATTTTTGACCGTACATTCCTTGCTTTTTTATGTGATTATATTCCTGCTTTTAATCTAAAACATTGTAAGACTTAACTTGTTTATTTAGTGATGAGTATATGTTTGATCAAGTTGTATGCTGTTATTATAGTATCAGATAACCAATAAAAAAAAAAAAAATTCTCAACAAATCTCACCGTTTGAAAAACAACTCTCATGTTTTTCCTATTTCTATTTTATGTATTTTACATGTTTTGTATGTATTTTTCATCCTATATTTTCAACCGTACATTCCTTGCTTTTTGATGTGATCATATTCATGCTTTTAATCTAAAACATTGTAAGACTTAACTTATTTATTTAGTGATGATTATATGTTTGATCCATGATAGTCAAATCGTGTATCGTGTATCGAAAACTTAATTTTTTGAATCGTGTAGTGACCCAGGGGTGGATCCAGAGTGTATTAACCCACCCTCAATTTTTTTTTTTAAAAAAATTAAATATATTATTCTATTTAGTTTGACTTTGGTCCACCCTTAATTTCTATTTTCAAATATTAAAAAATTGTGGGCCACTCTCAATTTTAGAACTAAAAGTCTTGGCCCACTCTCCCCTTTAATACTAAAAAAACTTGGCCCACCGCCCACCTTCAATTTTTTTAATAAAACATGTAAAAATATCTTCCTTTGCGGTTGCAATTTGCAAACCCTCAGTAAGTCAGTCTGGTGGTCGCTCGCGTCTTCCACAACTCCTCTGCTGCTCTCCCTAATTCTTCTTCAACAAAATTTTATCAGTTATTTTCTCTCTGGTTAGTACTTTTTTCTATGTGTATAATGATTTTTTGTTATTTGTGTGTATTAGTATAATAGCATTGTGTATTGAATTTTTTATTGAGAAAACTTTTAGGAAAAAAGGGGAAGTTTTTAGATTCCAATATTTTGTGATAGGTAAATGATTGTTTTGTAGTCCCAAAATTTGGAAGAAAAATAATATATAGATAATAGAAATAGAAATATAGATAGAATCAACGAGGGTTTTATTTTTATGTTTTGTTTAAGTCTTTAAGACTTTAAGTTGATGATTAAAAAACTTTAAGTTGGAAAATTTAGAAATTCTATAGTTATTATAGAATTCAATTCGTGAGTTAATTTATTTCTTTGTATTTATATAATTTTATTTCTTTCTATTTAGATATGGAAAAATATTTTAAAAGAAAGTCAATTGCTGAGACATCTCAACTTTGTTCTGGTGTCAATGATCATGAAAACCAACATTTTTCAAAGAAAAATTGCTTCGAAGTTGACTTGGAAAATCTTCCTTTTGATCTTGGATTTCAACCAAGAATTACGTTTTATCATCCTAATGTTCGAGACCAAGTCAGAATGCGTTATCTACAAAAGGGTCCTTGTTAACCTCGCAACCATAAGTTTCCCAAATCAAAATCTGGTGATCATGAACAGAGTTTCCAACGTTCTTGGTTTGACAAATATCCTTACTGGTTGGAATATAGTGTTGAGAATGATGCTGCATATTGTTTATGTTGTTATCTTTTCAGAGCAAAGTGGCGATGATTCTTTTGTTCTTGATGGGTTTCGCAATTGGAAGAGACTTGAAAAATTTAAATATCATATTGGAGGTCCTAACAGCTATCATAACCAAGCTGTGAAAAATTGTCAAGCTTTGATGAACCAAAAGTAGCATGTAAGTACAATTATTAATAAGAAATCTGACCAACAGCGAGAAGATTATCGTATTCGGTTGAAAGGATCTGCTAGTCAGTTTCTTCTTCGACAAGGATTGCCTTTTCGTGGCCATGATAAGTCTGTTAATTCAATGAATTAGGGAAACTTTCTTGAACTTTTACACTATACAGCTAAGCAAAATGAAGAATATAGATTAGTAGCATTGGAGAATGCTCCTGGACATGATAAATTGATTGCTCCTAGTATCCAAAAAGACATAATCAATGCATTTGCAGTTGAAACCATCAACAAACTAATTAGTGATCTTGGAGATGCTTTTTTTTCTATACTAGTTGATGAAGCTCGTGATGGATCCAACAAAGAGCAGATGACAATTATCTTACGTTATGTAAATAAAAGAGGATGTGTTGTTGAATGTCTATTGAACATTATGCATGTCACAGATACGACTGCTTTGTTCGTAAAGATGAGAATCGAAACATTGTTCTCTAAATACAATTTGAGCATATCAAGATTACATGGACAAGGTTATGATGGTGCGAGTAATATGCGAGATCAATTTAATGGGGTAAAAGCACTTATATTGAAAGATAATGAATATGCCTTCTATGTTCATTGTTTTGCTCACCAACTTCAACTGGCACTTGTAGCTGTGGCAAAAAAGGATACAAATATTGAAAGACTTTTTTTGAAAGTTTCTTGTGTGATAAATATTGTTGGATGGTCACCTAGACGTAGGGATCTTCTTAATGAGAAACAACCTTTGAAGGTGAAAAAAGCTATTAAAAGTGGTGAGCTTTCAACAGGGCAAGGTCTTAATCAAGATACTAATCTTAAGCGGCTAGGGGAAACACGGTGGGGTTCACATTATGGGACTTTATTGAGCTTGATTAATTTGTTTTCATCTGTTGTTGAAGTGCTTGAGGATCTTACTGAAAATTCTGATAATAGAGTTGAAGCAAGTGATTTGGTGGATTATATGACTTCTTTTGATTTTGCTTTTAACCTGCACATGATGAAAAACATTTCGGGAATCACATTTGAACTTTCACAAGCATTGCAAAGGAAGGATCAAGATATTATAAATGCTATGTCTTTGGTTCACTTGTCGAAAAGAAGATTATTGTTGATAAGAAATAATGGATGGGATAATCTATTTGATGAAGTTTCTCATTTTTACATTGCTCATAATATAGATGTGCCAAATATGCAAGAGAAATTTGTTGCACGAGGGAGATCGCGGCGTAATATTCAAGAGATGACAAATTTATTTCATTATCGTGTTGAGTTATTCTATGCCATAATAGATTTGCAACTATCAGAGCTTAACAATTGTTTTAATGAAGGTAATACAAAATTACTTATTTGCATGGCCTCCCTAAATCCAAGTGATTGCTTTCAAGCATTTGATAAGGGAAAATTAGTTGGTTTTGCTCAATTTTATCCACTTGAATTTTCTTCTACTGATCTTATGGCACTTGAACTTCAACTTGATAATTACATTGATGATATGCGCTCAAATAGTAATTTTTCATAACTAAATGATATTACCAGTCTTGCTCAGAAAATGGTCGATAAGAAGAAGCATCTTATTTACTTATTGGTATATTTGCTCATCATGGGCTTTAACCTTACCAGTTGCAACTGCAAGTGTAGAAAGAGCATTTTCTGCTATGAAAATTGTGAAGACTCATTTACGTAATCAGATGGGTGATCAATTCTTGAATGATAGCCTAATTCCATATGTTGAGAAAACTATATTTGACAGTGTTGATAAGGAGGTGGTCATGCAACGATTCCTCAATATGAAGCCCCGTTGAGGACAATAATAAATGTAATTTTTTTTTTTTTTTGTGACAATATTGACTAAAAAAACAGAATACAAATGTTATATACAATTAGTTTTTATTTGGCCCACCCTAATAGAAATTTCTGGATCTTCCCCTGTGTAGTGTGTATCGTATCGTATCGTATCGTAGGATATGCCTTTTTCAAAAAAATTAATAAAATAACCAAAATTTCTAAAAATTAATATCATCCCCAAAATTAATTAAAGAATTTTGTGGTATTATTGGCATTAAATTATGGTATTACATAATCAAAATTAATCACAAAATTAAGAATCTATATTATTTTCTCTCAACCATTCATATCATTTCCAAGATCAAATTCAATATATATGGCTCCGTTTGATACACTCTTCCAAATATTATTCTGGTTTTCCCAATAAAGTTAAACAGTAAAATTGGCTTATTCTCAAAATATTATTCTATATTATTCAATTCTTTTAAACCCCCCTAAATTTGTTAATTTAACTAAACACCCTCAATTTTTTTTTAGAAATTACAAAAACAACCCAGCAACCTACATTTACCAGATTTCGGCCACCACTGTCGGAAGCTGGCTGGAATCTGGTATAATGGTGCACTACCGGCTGAATCTGGCCGATAGTGCACCGATTTGGCCTTTTTCGGCTAGATCTACGGCCAAAGATCTGGCAGTCAACGGCCAGATCTTTGGTCGTAGCTAGTCGTCAATGACAGCCAAGATATAGTCATTGCTGACCATCAATGACAATCGTATCTTTGACCGTCGTTGACGACCAAATGCGGCCAGATCTAGCTATAGATCTGGCCTTTTCCAGCCAGGTGGATCTGGCCGGAAAAGGCCATATCAGTGCACAACCGGTAAGATCCAGCCAGTCATGCATCGATACGATGACTCCGACCACCCTCCGGCGGTGTTGGCCTGCTGTCCGTATTTAATGGGTGGGTTGGGGGTGTTTTTGTTAATTTTTAATATTTTATTATAAGGGTGTTTAGTAAATAAATAAACATAAGAGGCATTTTTGTTAATTTCCAAATCCTACATCATAATACCCATCCAATTTAACTTTTTTCAAAATATTATTCTAAAAAGTATTAGAATAATGAACCAAAGGGACCTTATATCTCCACTTATATTATTATTATCATACAAAATGGGCAACACATATTCCTCTTCACTTTCTCCATGCAAAATAGGTAAATTTAGGCAAGTTTTATTGAATCAGGTTGGGTGACCTAGTTCCGACTCGAATTTTTTTTTTGGGCCTTTGGTCTAAATTAATAAAGTCATATCGATTTGTATCTATATTTTTAAGGATACGTATCGTATCATAGGATATATATCCATGTATCGAAAGGTTTAGGATACACTCTCTGATACGTATCATTGGCGACCTATATAGAATCATATCGTATGATACTTATCGCGATCAAGTATCGTAGGATACTAATAACCATGGTTTGATCAAGTTGTATATTGTTATTATAGTATCAGATAACCAATGAAAAAAAATTTCAATAGATCTCGCTGTTTGCAAATAACTCTTATATTTTTCCTATTTCCATTTTGTGTATTTTACATGTTTTGTATGTATTTTTCATCCTATATTTTCGACCGTACATTCCTTGCTTTTTTATGTGATTATATTCATGTTTTTAATCTAAAACATTGTAAGACTTAACTTGTTTATTTAGTGATGATTATATGTTTGATCAAGCTGTGTACTGTTATTATAATATCAGATAACCAATAAAAAAAAATTCTCATTTAAGAATTGTAAATAATTAGAAGATTGAAGAACAAGGAAAAAACCAATTAACCTCTGGCAACCATAATTTATTAGGCCTTAAAACAACCTCTAGAAGTAACCCTTGTACATTTGATAAAATCGTGAGGAAAAAAAGAAGCCTCAGCTCAAGGAAATTATTTAACATAAAAGAAAAGCAAAGTTTCTTACCTGAAATTTGTCTGAAACCATGTGCCGAAGCCGCTGATAATAGACTGGTCCAATAAAAATTTCACATGTCAGTTCGGTTCCATAAACCCCACTGTATAATACCTCCACACCATGATAATTAAAGCCACAAGTCTTCAACATTCACCAAACTCATCGACAGGTGATTTAGATTCCAATCCAGCCTCTCCATTGGCTTTCTTAACTGAATTTGCAAATGGCGTTGCATCCATAATTTTTCCGTGTAAGGCACGTCCCTGCGACATCATAGGTAAGTATTGGATATGGGTGGGACACCCATGATGGGATCCACCCAAAGTATGTTACAAGTGAAAACTCTGAGCTAAAACTGCAGCAGTTGCCAAGGCAATTGATGCCCATATATAAGAGAAGAAATTCCTTTTAGAACAGTTTTTTCAATATCTCTAAAATTTATTAAAGGAAAAATACACATATGGTGGTTTTCTCTCAAGATGCAATTTTTTGCTTTAGAGTTAAGCAGAAGACGTATTTATGCTGTGAACTTCATTATAATTCGTTTAAGTAAAAATGTGATTGCAATGGGTGACTATTAATACGATCTTAGGATTAATTAGAATATTTGTTATTCTGAGTTTTTTCCAACATTGGTATCAGAGCCGTGGTTTTTCATCTTTTTTTAATTTCGTACTATTGTGTTAAAATATTCTGCATGTTACTTAAATTCAAATCTGAAATTTCTTTTTTCCTACTTGTAGAGTTGTCTTTTTGGTAATAATAATTAGATTATTCGATTCTTTTGAAATTATGAAGAAAATGGCTTTTGAATCACAAAAAACGAAGTTAAAATGGCTTACTTATGCTTCTTTAAAGATTCGGGTTCGTATGGGTTATTTTCTGGGTCGGGTACCAAGTTGCAAACCCGAGCAGAGGTAGAAGATGACAATATTGATCGACAAGTCGTTTTAATTTCAGCCTCAGAAACAACTTGTCATTTGTTTTTACTAACTTTCAATAAAATAAAATAAAACACAGAAAGAAGGCACCGTGACTTGAACTCAGCCTTTTCAAGGCAATAACTGACCTTAAACCATTTGGGTAGTTTTTTGGATCATAGAGTAACTTCTAACACATTTTTTTAGTTTTAAGTCTACTGCATTTTCTTTATACCACAAGTTTAAAAAAAATATGGTTGTTGAGATTTGACCCCAAGTCTCTACGTGGAAGGCAGATACACTTAACCACTGGGCTACAATTTGCTTTGTGTTAGCCATTCTTGCAAATCCACTATATTTGAGCCCAGGCCCAACCCAAAACAAAATAAAGTCAAGTTGACCCGAGTATCCAACCCATATGACCAAACGGGTTAGTCAAACCCGATTAATGGTCAATCGACCCAGTCAACTCCCGACCTATAAGGTCAAACGGGTGGTCAAACAAAGTCAACGGGTCAAATTGACCCAGTCAAAGCTAAAACGGGTCAAACCGACCCGAAGTTTAGGTGAGGCATGTGACTGGCGCGTGGCTACTTTTTTCAGCGCATGAAGGCTTCTAGGTGTTGATTGAAGGCGTGTGGGGTATTCTAAAATTGTCATTTCCTTTTCTTTAAATAATAAAATGCATACTTGGTATTATATTTATCAAATATAATCAACTTTTATATGATAAAGGAATAGAATTTTTTTTTTTGTATTTGTTACGGAAAAAATGTTACATTATAGATGTGCAATGGCTGCTAGAACACCCGCTTAAAAGGAAAGGGTTATGAGCATGATTAGAACTCTACAAACTGTCACCTTAATATTAAGAGACACAGAGGATGAGTTGGTGCAACTCGTAAATCATTTCATTCATGTGAATGAAAAGATTTAGGAAATTGTCTGGAAAGGGGGATTAATTAGAGATGAGTTGAAATATAAAGTCCTTAGAGAGACTCTTAATTACCCTAGTCTCGTTGGTCTCCTTGATTTGGCTTGGAATAAGTTGAAAGTTCAAAACCTTAAAGATGACAATAAAGATTATAGAAGTTTAGTCAACAACTACATCAATGAGTACATAGATTGGGGCGCCAGAAAGACGGCTGGTGCATCTATTGGAGTCTCCACTCATAAAGGATACCACAAGAAACTAGGAGTTCCCTGCCTAGGGTTACTTACAAGTTAGATAAAGACCTTAGGATAAGGCTTATCGGATCCTTCCCAGTTTATGGGATGTGGCAGTACACTTAGTTTTTTTTTTTCTTTAGACAATTGTTTATTTTAATGTCACTACATGTTGAATTTTATTTACATAATGAAATCAGTTTTATTTATTTATTTTTTTTTCATTAAAATTTAATTTTGTTTTGTGAATTTATGTTGAATTATACTTATATGATTGTGTCTTAATATTATTTTAGAATTGCAATTAATTATATCTATGACAATTGGAGATTAGAATTTTGGATGATGATTGTTGATATAATTAACTTTTGATTCCAAATCTAATATACAATTATTATTAATATAATTAATTAAATATATGTATGTTCCGAGCATTGAATAGCATGCATTATCCAATGTGTAATTTTTTAGAAATGACATCTGCATCTATGAACATTGTCACCGAACTTAATAAAGGAGAAAAATTTAACGGCGTAAATTATGAGATATGGAGCATGAAAATCCAATATGTCTTGGAAGAACAGGAGGTTCTTGAAGCTCTTACCATGACCATGGAAGAGCCTGAAGAAAGAGCCACAACTCAATATAAAAGAGACCATGCAGCTTATGACATGTGGAAGAAGAAGATCGCCTTAATTAGAGTAAGGCAAATACTGATGTGTATATGACTGGTTCCAGTTCACATCTTAGGAAGGGATTTAAGCATAAATTCTAAGGTGGATCCCAAAGAAAAGACAATACTGATAAGGCTCAAGGGACGAAAAGAAAGTTTTATAAACACGAAAAAGGAAAACATCTTACCAGGAAGAGAAACATGGCAAAGGTGAAATGCTATAACTGTGGCAATAAGAGACATTTTGCTCGCAATTGCAGCGAGCCAAAGAAGTTAAATGACTTG